TTAAAATATATAATTGGCACTCTGCATTAAAATTGTACACAATTGTTCGTTGGCAGCCTGCACTAAAATTGTATCTAATTAAACGTTGTCGGCAGTAAATCATAACAATTAACACTCAGCACGATTAGCTACTTCACTCGCTCTAATACAGCTAAGATTCCAGCCATCTCGTACCACGCGGTCTGATGTTATCACACTCATTGTTTGCTTAGGTATTCACTGCGTTTTTTATTCGAGACTCGTCTAAGTACATGGTTAATGAGAAACAATGTATTTATATATTCCAATAATAAAAATATAGTTGTATTATGTATTTTGATTTTGTATACCGGAATGATTGATACGCGAAAGAATGCGTATTGACTTTACCGAGCAGAAATGGCTTAGTGTTTTTCTACATGTGATTAATATGGCATGATTGATTAAAAGCTACTATTCCTGCAACTCGGGATTCAGAAGTGAGTTGTGGCCCTATCACCCCCTTCCCCCCAGAATCTGGTGGAGGGTTTTTTTTGGCTCCAGTAACCAGTGAAAAGTAACGCCCGCGCAAAACAATTTTTAATTTCAAGATCATTACCTACAGGTTTTTATTAATTTAAAGTTAATCAGTTTCAGGGCTCGGACTTGCCGAATACAGGCAGTTCGATTTCCATGTGTGACTCTGACCTATTAAAATTTGAGCTATAGCTTACACTCCCCGGTCCATACGTATAAGCAACATCCCTTTCCTACCCTTACCTTTTACGGCAATATTCTCCAATTTTTTTAAAGTTTACTCCTTAAGAATCATTTTTCATACAAGGCGCCCGGTATGGAAAAAATATGAAGAGTAAAATATAGTGATCGAATGCTTTCGTTACGTTTTTTGTGCGCAACCCACCGTGCACACCTTTTACATGTGTGAGTATAGCTAGTAAACTTGTGTGCAGCGGCATCATTCTTAAGGAGTAAACTCCAGACGTCGGAGCTGAAACACTCAGTCAATCTAACTTTCATAGTACAAGCTCTGTTTAGTTTGAAACTAGATGGCGTTGTGTGTCAGATGTCCGAAAATATTATTATTATTATCTCTAAAATGCTCAGGCAATAGGCCAAAATAGGGCTTTTATAATACGCCTCTATCTACCCCTTAGACATAGGTTTCCATTAAATCCAGTTCTTTGTACTAAAACCATTTAAAGACAGGATCGCTTTTAATACTTAAATATACCTTTACTTGATAGCAGATGTCTTGTGCCAGTTCAAACAAAGATAAATAAACAGTATAAAAATCAAGATAAAAAGCATAATTTGGGCATAATATTTAACATCAGTAGTAATAATTAACATCAACAGTTTCCGATTAGGTGCCATCGTAAAAGCGACCACGGACGAAGGATGACATAGTGGAACATGCGACGTTGTTTCATTCAAAGGACCATTGAGGAAGGGTATTCTGGCAAACAGTAAATTGGTGAAGTGTTAGTTGTAAAACCGATTACGGACGAAGGGTGTTTTCGGCAAACCATTAATCGCTGAACCATAATTTAGAGAACCGACTACGGACGAAGGGTGTTTTCGGCGAGCCGTTTATTAGTGAACTGACAGTAACGCATTATTCACATTGTACCAATTTTATCAATTTCATAACGCTAGACACTTCTCAAAAAAAAATAACAAAAGAAGTCTTGTTCATAATACAATGTATCATAGAGTTTATCAGCTAACATTTGTTTGCTCTCGCTCTCTAATTGGCTGTACACACACCCAGCAAATACATTACATAGGCTCCTGATACTTATGCACATAATTGTACACCTTATCTCTACGGATTATAGTTTATATTTACTTTTAAAGCCGAGACTAAGGGGAAACTTGTATGTTGCATTGTTTATGATAGCTATAATTAAACCGATATAAGTTTTGATTTTGCTACTGTTTGAAAAACATTGTACCAACTTATCAGTACTGGGTACTGCCGCCACGAGTTAAAGCTTTAGTATAAAACTTTTTATTTGTTTTCTAGTTTACGTTACATATTTAATGTTATTGAGATGATTGTAAAATGTAGACTGAAGGACCCCCAATAATATGGACACAAGATGACAACGTGACGAAAGGAACAAATTCAGTTATACACATCTAACGCAGGAGTACTCACTAGATCTAACCGATCATTCAAGTCGGTTGTATTAATAACTTAAACATACTAAGTAACTAAACCACACTCAGTCACAATAAAAAGTTTTCATATAAAAAAAACAACATTTAACATACATCAATTCATATCACATTACATCATCTCATCAACAGCCTTTAATAGGCCACTGCTGGACATAGACCTCTCCTTGGAAAGGAGGTTTTGGCCTACTATACCACGCTGGCCAGATGGGTTACCAACCGGTAGGGTTTGTGTCAAGTTTTCCTTCTTTTTGCAGTGCTGGAGTCCTGCGTTGTTTTGCGCTCTTAGTCGGCTCTCACGACACCCACGGGATGACTCAATTCATAACTCATTATTATTATTTTTATATTTTAACTTCTGAATTTTTCATTTGAGTTTAAATTAAGTTTTAATTTAACCCTTTAGTAGAAATAAAGTGGAGATAACTCGAAGAATCAGAATATTATGGTTTTCGTTAGTTAATTAATGTACTTAAACTATGATAATTGTTAAATGATGACAATAGGCATTGTAACTGGTTTTACCATCCTAACTTATCAACGTTAGGCTTTTCCAACCATCAGACTAACACAATTATAAATTTATACCAATGACGGCAAAATATTAAAATCATAAAATTAATAAGGTATATTTATATTTGTATGTAGGTATGCATATATTTACATAATAATTTCATCATCTGTCTACCCATATGCCAATTTTATCTGGGGTCGGCGCAGTAAGTATGATTCTTCCATTCACATAACCATTCGTCATTTCACTCTTTACTCCCCAGTTGTATCCTCACTCACACAGTCCATCCACCTTTTCTTTGGTCATCCTCTTCTCTTGTACCGTTCAACTCCTATACCTAACACTTTTTTCGCAACATTTTCCTCAACCCTCCGCATGTCATGTCCATACCAAGATAACCTATTACTTCTTAACTTTTCATCCAGCGGCGCTACTTTCAGACTCCCTCGTATATACTCATTCCTAACCTTGTCCATCCGAGTCATATTACATATCCATCTCAGTATTTCCATTTCGGGTACGTTCAGGAGTCTCTCATCCGTTCTGTTAATGGGCCAACTTTCAAAACCATACAGGATGATGATGATGTAGTTTTGTAAATTTGTCCTTTTAGTTTTAAGGGGACTGGGGTCACAAATTGTTCCCGTTACCAGCAGTTCGGTCGACCTTGTAATGACATTGTAAGAAGGAACCGGGGTACCGGTAACATATATCTATATGTAACTTATACATTTAGCTTTAAATTGTCAAACCTATTAAATATTAAAGCATCCTTTCATATTAATTAAAAATGTTAACTTGATTAATATTTAAGTATTCTATCAGTGAACCTAGCTTTCATAGTACACTGCTTAGTTTCAAACTAGATGGCGTTGTGTGTCAAATGACCGAAATATTATTTAGTTATTAAATGTATTTCAAAATATAGCCATGTTTATAAGCAGTCTGGTAATGCTATGTATGGCTCTGCCTAATTTGGGATCGAATGGTTATGTTTCAGAGGTGAGAAGTTATTATTATTAAATTATAACAACATTTGCCAGTAATTAGCATCGGTTAATTGAGAATATAAATATTAAACAGATAACACTTTAGTTTCTGATGTTACTTTCTTCTTGTTATCATAAGAAAACATTGGACGTTTTCCATATCTTTTTTTAGCCTATGTCGCACCATTGAGGCTAAAAGGTAAAAGACTAGGTCATAAATAAGTTAACTGTGTATGTACACAGTAGAAAAGTTTTTTTTTCATAAGAGATCTATGAAAAAAAAACTTTTTAAAAATTATATCAAAATTTAGATTCTTACTTAGTTTTTAAAAAGTTTTAAATACTTTTTAAAAAATTTATATGAAGAGTTTTTGAAGTGAAACTTCTTTAGCAACGTTGTGATTTGAAAATTCGATGAAACGAAAAAGCGACAGTAAAAAGAGACAAACATATTCATAAATAGGATTTAGCCTGCCAGAGAATGAGATAGATTATAAGCATACAGTATTTTCTGTTTTCTTCGTCTCCTCTATGCTATGAGAGATTCTATCTTGAGAATGCGTACAACGAAGCTTTCAGAAAATGTGTCATGAAAAACGTGGTGTATCATTCACATGTTTTATGTTTTTGCATTTGCGTATGCGTCAATTAATTTATGTCAATTATTTCACACATCTGTTAATTTGATAAATAATTTTTATTTATATAAATTATCTAAAATTAAGTTTATAAACATTAGTAAACATTAGTATCATAACACAATCATATTTGTGAGGAAATTTTGTAAAAAATAATAATATAATATTTTGACAATGTGAATATTTTTATCGTTTTATTTAATAAAATATTTTTTTTCTGAAGTTTCACTTCTGCCGTGTGTGAATTGCACACACACGCTTTTTTGTGTTCGAATGTACATTTGATTTTTTTTAATTTGCATGCCAATATATCTAAAAAAGATCAGACTCGCTACTTTTATGTTGACTGCAAAAGTAAAAGCGATAAAATGATGAGCAGGTAAAAAGTTCATTTTCATTAGTGTTGTAAAATATTTGTGTCAAATAAGTTTCACAATTAAAACTACAATAAATAATTCGTCTTATGTTTTAAACCCAGTTTTCAAAAGTATAATAAGCTGTGGTTAATACTGAAACACCAGTATTTAAAATTAAAAAAAAGTATTTAAATACCTTCGTGGGCTCCAAAACATATATAAAAAACAAATTAATTAAAATAAGTACTCAGATAATTATTATAGATAAATACTTATCAAAAGAAAAATCACAACACACACGGTTTAACAGAAATTACGTAAAACTTTCGCTCACGACACTTACTTCAAACTTGTTTCAATAGTAGTGGACATGTTTAACACGCTCTCTCGCACTAATGTCTAGCTTAACACTGAAGCAATGGTGCGCGCGCGCAGAACGTCCAAATTGCGGCGTTTGCGCTGCGCGGGCGGTCGCGGTACGGAGAAGATGATACGCGGGCGACGGATAAGTTTCTTGCTGATACGCCCTTATTGAATTACAATAACTTCTAATGATGATGATAAATGATGTGATAAAGATGAATGATGTGTCGTTACTAACTTTTAAAATTAAGTGTTCTATGAAAGATATATACTTATTAATTAGGGAATTACTGCGACCAATCATCATCATCATTAACAGCTTTTAATAGTCCACTGCACGACATAGGCATCTCCTTAGAAAGGAGGTTTCGGCCTACTATACCACGCTGGCCAGACGGGTTGGTATAGGGTTTGTGTCAAGTTTTCCTTCTCTTTGCAGTGCTGGTGTCCTGCGTGGTTTACTCCCTTAGTCGGTTATTATGACACCCACGGGATGAATAGGAGTGGTGACACTCCGTATTCTGCTATCAATAGGCATAAGGCATAGGAACTTTGTAAGTTTCAGTTAGTCTGTGACCACGACCGGTGCAGTCTGGTCGAAATGTCAAATGTATGTAGGTGAGTCAATGTCTAATGATCGCGGTAATAGTAAACTACATATTATAAATACACTTAAAAGATGCCAAGGAGTGTCAATGACCTTCTATTCTAAGCAATTTTATTATTTAAAGACTGATTAACTTTGACTTGAGTTGTAGTTGAAAAGAAACTAACCCAAAAATTAAAAAGGAAATGTTTTCTTTACCGATCAAGTGAAAAGAAAGGATAATACTGATTTCTAAAACAGGAAAATAATCCTACTGATTTTCGACTCAATAAAATAATAAATATTAATATTTGAAAAAAAAAAAATTTGAATTTTTTTTTTTAAATTTGAAAAGTGTTTTTTGAGAAATTTAAAATATTTTTTAAAAGCTCTCTAGCCTGACAAAGCTGTTGAGAACTACTTCAGACTTGGCCATCTCTTCAGCATAATCTACATATAGATCCTTACAAAATAATACCCAAAAGGACAAAAGGCTCTGAATAGGTTAGACGTCGTCATAGAATAAATGCAACATAATGTAAGTTAAGGCGCTAAAAATAAAAATTACTAAACTCTAACTCTAAAAACAAAACTCTAACTCTAACTCTAAAAACAAAACTTAAAATAGAAGTAAAAATTAATTTCTTAATCTGTGCATTTACAATTATTTGCCCTAACTGATTAATTCATCGACGCAGAGTCTCAAGCCCTGGGGCAAAAAACTTAAAATTTTGATATCTGATGATTTTTCTGCTGTAAGCACCTAATATTAACGAATTTGTAGAAATTTCACCCTTAAGGGGGATAAAATAAGGGATGAACGATTGTATTAAAGTTCGACATTTTGAAAGTTAGAAACACGAAATAATAAATAATCACGCGTGCGAAGCCACTGGCAATAGCTTATATTTTATACAAGCTTTAACCTGACGCTTGTCCAGCGTATATCTTGATTATTCTCGATATCTGTATTCCAATATATATACGAGTATATATAGTATATAGTATTCCAATATATATTTATATATATAGTCCTTGTAGTGACGGATTAAGAATACGGAATGTCACTACCCCAATTCATCCCGTGGGTGTCGTAAGAGCCGACTAAGGGCGCTAAACAACGCAGGACACCAGCACTGCAAAAAGAAGGAAAACTTGACACAAACCCTTTTTTTTTTTTTTTTTTAACGTGTGGAAATCCCCTCGGACCGTCACCCCTCCGGGGTTTGCGGCGGGGTGGTGTGTCGGACTCGGACCGACTAAAACCACACGGTGTGCCACTCTGCGCCTGTAACAGGAGGGATCCGGGAACAGCTGTTGTTAAGACATCCGGACCCCTCCTAGCGCCAGCCCGCTCCTGGTGCGGGCTCCGTCTCGATATTGTTCCTCTCTTTTTAGGCGACGTCCGGCACACGCGGACGCCGCCCCCTCGCGGCTGGCCAAACTAATGCGGGTGGAGGGGAAACCCACCCCGTCCACCCGCGGCCACACTCAGGGCGGCATGAGGCTGTGGTAGGCGGGCCTCCGCCGCCCGGTTCGCCGGCGGCGGATCGGGTCCGAGTGGAGGTCGTCCTCCCGGGCCCTCTCCGCCGCCTCCTTCCGCGAGATTACTACCTCGCAGAAGGTTGCGACCGCGGTAAAACAACTGTCGCTACCGGCCATGGAGCGTACTACGGCCGGTAGCGAGAGATCCACTCCGATGACTGCAGTGAGGGCCCGGCGCTGCGCCGCCCATGCGGGGCAGACCGCCAGCGTGTGCTGGGCCGAGTCCTCACTGCAGTCGCAGTGGTGGCAGGCGGGACTCAGTTCCCTCCTAGCGACCGTGTGCAGGTACTTTCCGAAGCAACCGTGCCCGGAAAGCACCTGCGTCAGTCGGAAGGAAAGGGTCCCGTGCTGCCGCCCTGCCCACTCGGCGATGACCGGCTGGAGAGCCTCCACGGCGGCGAAGCCAGCGCGTGGAGTCTCCAGCCGGAACGACCAACGAGCCATCGTGGCTCGGCGAGCGGCTTCGCGCCATTCGCGCACATCCTCGGGCGGAGGGCGAAATCCGCCTTCCGCCCGGAAGTCAGCCACTCGCCGATAAACTTCGGCGAGCACTTCCGCCTCCAAATCCCACGGGGGAGTTCCGGCCAATGCGCATGCCACCTCCGTCGAAACGGTGCGGTAACCGCGTATGGCTCTGACCGCCATTACCCTCTGAGGGCGCCAGAGGCGTACCCTATTCTGGGCGGTCAGAGCCGCCGCCCACACCGGTGCACCGTACAGCGCCATTGACCGGACAACCCCCGTGTACAGCCGTCTTGTCGCGACGCTGGGTCCACCCATATTGGGCAAGAGTCGCCCTAGGGCAGACGCAGCGCCGACCAGCTTTGGAGCAAGCTGTCGGAAGTGCTCGTCGAAGAGCCACCTCCCGTCGAGGATCAGGCCCAGATATTTCATCTGGGCCCGAACCGGTACGAGGACCGAGTTGACCACGATGGAGGCGCCAGGGGGTGGACCACGACGGGGCCCATGAAATAACAGGGCCTCCGTCTTATCTAGGGCCACCCGTAAGCCCAGCGCCTCAATGCGCCCGACCACCAGGGAGACTCCCCCTGTGGCCAGGCGCGCCGCCTCTTGGAAGTTTGCCCCCCGGGCTGTCACCAAGGTATCGTCTGCATAACAGATTACACCCAGCCCGGGGGGGAAATCGGCGCGAAGGGCCCAGTCGTACCCTATGTTCCACAAGAGGGGTCCAAGAACAGACCCCTGTGGAACACCGCACGACATGGGCCGACACCTCAAATAACCTTCTCGGTCCTCGTACACGACGGTACGCTCCTCTAAATAGTCTGCCACCAGCCGCCTCAGGTACTTTGGCACCCCATGATAGTGGAGTGCTTCCCTGATGCAGCTGAATGGCAGACTATTGAATGCGTTGGCGATGTCTAATGACACCGCCAACAGCACGCCGCCACAGCTCACGGCCTCTTCGGTCACGGCCCTCAGGCGCAACACGGCGTCGACTGTCGAACGCCCCGCCCGAAAACCAAACTGGGCGTCCGACAGATCGGGGCCCACCTCGCAGAGGTGCCGGACGATGCGGGCAGAAAGAACCCTCTCAAACAATTTGCCCGCCTCGTCCAGCAGCACGGTGGGCCTATAGGCCGCGACCGAATCGGCCGGCCGTCCCGGCTTCCTCAATAGGACCAGCTTCCCGCTCTTCCAGCACTCAGGGAAGCGTCCCGACGCCAAGCTAGCGTCGAACACCTCCCCGAGGCGGTCTGCCAAGTGGTTGAGGGCCAGGGCCAGCACTCGGGCCGGTACCCCGTCTGGCCCAGGGGCGGTGTTCTTGGAACGGATCCGTAGAACAGCCGCCCCTACCTCCGAATCCCGGACGGGCGGAACATTTTCCTCCCCGTGCTCCCCGTCGTATCCGGCCAAGGAGGCCATCGCCGGGGGAGTGTGTTCCGCTCGTTGCGGGAAAAGGCCCTCAACCACTTCTCGCAGGAAGCTGGGCTGGAGAGTCTCCGTAAGGGGGGGGCCCGACGCGCGGAGCTTTTGTCGCACCGCGCGGTTAGGGCGACCCCAGGGGTCACGATTAAGACCCTCCAGCATCTCCTGTCTTTTCTCTTCTTTGGCGCGGCTAATGGCCAGCTTCAGAGTTTTCCGCGCCCGTCGGTACTCCTCATGAAGCCGGTCCTCCTCACCGTCTCCACGGTGACGCCGCCGACTGCGCGTGTAGGACCTCCGGGCACGTGTACAGGCCGCACGGAGGTCCGCCAGCTCCTGGGACCACCAGTAGACCTCCTTCCTTGGAGGCCGACGACCTCGAACGCGGGGCATGGCCGCATCGCATACATGCGTAATCGAATCGCGAAAGCGGCCAGCCCCCACGTCGACCTCCTCGGTCGGAGCCTGAGGAGACAGCCACGAGTGAATTATGGCTGCCTCCTCTAGTAGGTCCCGGTTCAGCCTGGCAACAGCCCACCGCGGAAAGCGGGATAAACGCCGCGCCACGTGACCCCTACTGGAGTCCTGGGTCCGGGAGAGCTCAAATCGGATATACAGGTGATCCGAGAGCGTCTCAACCTCTTCCAGGACACGCCAGTTCCTTACTCGTGCGGCGAGGGCAGGGGTAGCGAACGAGAGGTCCACTATCGACCCCCCCTGCTGTCGCACGCACGTGTTGGTGGAGCCTCTGTTTAGGAGACAGAGGCCCACCGAGGCCGCCCACTCCTCTACGGCCTCGCCCCTGGCGTCCGTCCTGGGGGAACCCCACGCAATGGACTTTGCGTTGAAGTCCCCCAGCACAAGGACGTGCCCAGACGCTAGTCGCCGTATCGAGGTCTCCAAGCTGGTTAGGAAAACCTCGAAGTCGTTCAAACTCCGGTTGGGGGAGAAATAGACACCATATATGGTGATCCCCCCCCACTCGACGCCA